GTATACTATAGTATATATACTATATATACTATAATATATATACTATATACTACTATACATACTATATAAGTATATATATANATATATATATATATATATATATATATATATATATATATATATATATATATATATATAAGTAAATATACATGTACGCAATCCAATATGCGAACTACACACAGATAGACACGCAAAATTCACACTCGTACTGAACATGCCCAAGGCTGACATCAGAATTGAGATACAACTGATGTCCTGCACTATATATCTGCACTGGATCAATTACCTTCATATCTTCAGCAATTGCGTTGTAGTCTTTGCGTCCATGCCTGGCACATGAGGTCTTGAAAGTTCTGAAATCACCCTTACCCCAATCACTGAACCCACTAGACTCTAACTTTATTTTCTCGGCCTGCTCCTCTTCGGTAAGCGGTTCAGCCACCTAAAATACAATCCAAGTAATGAATGAGACACGTAAGAATGTAGTGACCATTTAGAATCCGACGTAATTTTATTACCCTCTGACATCGTATTCTCAGTAATACGCTGTCCTGTGAGGGGCTCAGACACTCGAGAAACACACGAAATGATAATGAGACGTAAAAACATTGATGACACTACAGTCCTTACATTAAACCCCAGATGATATACATGTCAACTAGCATCTGCCAGAGACATGAACTACGTGGCACAAAAGTGATATAAAAAAGGCAATAAACATTGTGAACACTACACACTACATACTAAGCCCTAATTATATACAATGCCAAAAAGCATCTGCCAGAGGCATGGGATACGTAGCTGAAAAGTGATATAACAAAGGAAATAGGGATCGCAAAAATTTCATCAGACGCATGTCTCGCTATTGAGACTCTCATGGACAAGCCATGACTGCCATTGACATCTCTTGTTTAGCAATAAGGCTTGTGATAAACTGAATCAGCTGCTTCATAAACCAGAATTAGAAAACTTGCATATTGTGCGAGAGCAATGTTTCTTGCCTGGCTCCAAGTTGCCCTCACACAGTGGCAGTGCTCGCCAGTAAATTCAGAACTTTGAAATAGCTTACGACAGTGTACGGGGTCATCCCACTTACATCAATAAGGGCTTGGATACGTGCACACTCCGCCTCTTGCTCGTCCCAATCTTCGTCGAGTGCAGTGCCTGTCGGAACTTGTTTGTAATCCACCTGTACAGATTTTCGATTTGATGTGTATAAGTGAGATGCAGAGCAACACCCAGAAATCTATGGCTGTCCACGCACGCACTCGTGCTCCTGGATACGTAAGTATACAAGACAGACCGTGCAAACAGCAACAAAGGACCCACATGAATATGTATGATTAAATACGCCCGCGTATGTATATGTAGCCACCCATATCACCCTCGTAGCACAAAAAATACACATTGTATACCTCGCGCCAGTGGTTGTATCTCTCCTTCTGTAAGAGCTCCAGTAACCTGGGGTCGTAGAACTGGTGCGGTTCGGTTGTGATACTCTTTGGAGCCTTGGGAACACGGGCAACGTGTACCTTGGGAGCGGTCTCTACTCTGCCCATCTCCGATTCGTTGTATGTGGTCACCCTGGAAGTCTCTCGTTTACCTACACAAATCAAGAAGTAATTGTATTTGTATATGTGTGGGTGTATATGTCAATTTGGTGTATACATTCATGGACTCTTATTTGTCTTCAAACCCGAAGGCCTTCTAGAACTAATACTGCGTCAGCGATGGGGATGGTCAACATTGCCAAACTCTGAGACAAAACACGTTTTCACACAGGAGGCGACTCTTTCACACGATTGTAGACATAAATGTTTCTATGCTTATATGCTGCGAACTCGAGTTGATGCCACGAATTGTCAAAAATAGACGCTACCGACAGTATAGCCCATGATTTCGATCTTCGCGCCATCACCGAATTGTCCGTGTCAAGACTCAGAATTACACACGACAATTCTGACCGAGGGCACACACATCAGCAACCACAGAAATTGAAAGAGGCAAATCATCAAACTGAAATATCAATGACGCAAACAGGACCCACCTTAAGCTTGATACTATGGCCTCCCAGTCACACACACTTTCAACTAGCTATCAGACAGTTTAAACAGCAGACACGGCACATGCATATATATATAAATGGCACATAATTCGTACCAAATTACACACCGATATCGAAGAATGCTGCGCCACCCCGGGTATTACTTGTAGTCGATCCACTCAGAGTTTTGTAATCTTTGCCCTCAAAGTCATACACACTGCCACCTGCATCCTCGAGACTGAATTGCTTCAGCTGTTCCATGCCAGCGGCCTTGAGTTTGGCCTCGAAGTCTTTGGTACGATTGGTACTGTCCTCGAGAATCGCGTCTATGTCGGCGTCTGAAACGGTAGAGTCTTTCATTCTGATGAAGTCACGGTGTTATACGCAGGCGATACAGTTAGTTGGACTGATGACATTGACATCAGATCACGGTTTTTATGCGTCACAGTCCAATAATGAATCGCTTCACAAAAAGTAAATGCCTTATTCTACTTCACGGACAATTGTGACTTTCTTCAGAAAAAGGAACAGTTTGCCGTACTACACAGAAAGAAAATATCCTATCCTAATTCACAGGTAAATGGTACCTTACTTTCCAAAACGGAAACACTTCGCCCAGAAATACACACCTGAAAACATGATCGGCACCACATTTGATCATATTGAAGATCTCGTCCTTATCCAGCTGTTTCTTCTGACCGGACAACTGGCCTTTCTGAATAACCAGTGCGTCTAAGCGCAACTTCATCTCCGCTCTCTCAACGATACGTTCCTCGACAGTTTGATCCGTGATCATACGGAATACTCGTACCTGCTTCTTCTGCCCGATACGATGTGCTCTGTCCATGGCTTGCAGATCCATCTGCATGCGTATATCCAAGAAGTGTTGTGGCAAAGTCGTGTATCTATTGTTTATACGCTATGCCAAATTTCGTATATGTGGTCCTTTGTAGTACACTATGCTGCTTATACACACATTTGTTCGAAGCCGTGGCGTGTAGCATGAACATTGTTCTATGCTAGTAAGAAAGCTTACCGCGGAGAACGTAACCATGGAGGCCAGACAATTGTGGAGGGCAATGTGATCATATTGATACTCACACTATGAGTGAAATTTCATACATATTGGTAACAATATAAAATTCCAGTAGGAAACTCAATTATTACATGCATGCTTATATTGTACTTACCTGGGAATTACAATCACTATCTTAATAGCGAAGCTAGTCGGCCATAGCTAAATTGATATTTAGCTCACAGATATGCGTAGCTGTGTGAAGACTACAAATATTCACATACACCTTCTTTCAATTCATGTATATCACAAGAGGAGTCCAATCACGAGCCTAGATTTCAACTAAATCAGCTGTGACCAAATTGATAATAGCGTCCACTCGTGCCCGTAATTGTACTTAGAAACGCACAATATCTTGTACACATCAACATGCCCTCATATTTTACTACATGTTTGCCTAAACAAACTCACCTGAGGATTCCAATCACTATCATAGATAATAACTGAATCGGCAGTGGCCAAATTGATACCTAGTCCACCAGAACGCGTACTCAGAAGGAACACAAACTTCTCTGAGCCTTCTCTGTTGAACTCGTCAATGCTCGCCTGTCGATCTGCGTGCGCTGTGCTGCCATCTAACCGACAGTGGTTGTACTTCCTGACATAAAATCGTAGGTGTTATTGCTAGCTTAAGGATATCTGATCACTAGCGGTTGCATTTTTTCCAGAAAATTGTCTAACTAAGTGAATGTGCTTTCTGGCGAGGACATGTTGGTCTTATTGTAATCGTATCGATCAGGGTCTATCGAGTTGTATTGCAAAGCAGAGCAAACTGTATATGTATTGAACGGAAATAATTCGATCCCATATTGTGTTCCTTCAGTGAGACTATCCTATTTTAAAGGAGTTTATTTGTTCACTGCGATAGTAATATGGAGCGTACATTAAATCTCAATTAATATCTGCGCACTCGTTTGGTGATTTCAAACAAAGCATACGAGTCGAAATTGATATGCAGAGCAGACACACGAATGCAAGCCATGTAATTCACACTCACGGTATGTACAAAAATTCATCGATCACGGTAGTTCCTCCAAGGTAAGAGATACATAAATACCTCCAAATACAGTAGTCTTCCAAGATGTCCAACATGCGCGTCATCTGCGAGAAAATCAGCACACGTGATCCCTGCGACTGTAATTTTGCCATGAGTTTGTCCAGCACCATCAGCTTACCACTGGCATTGACCAGATGTTGCAGGTCGTATATCTGTGCGAATGAATTACAAAGGGAGTAGAGTTATTACAGCCGTGTGTAGAGTTTGTATGTACCACAATAGCCTACCACTGACATTGGCGAGATGTTGTAGGTCACGTGTCTGTGGTGAATGCAAACGGCACTAACGTTACTTTCGTATAGGTTGTGAGGTTGCTACAGGACTGTAACAGTTTGTCATTCACCGAGGAATTTCGAGATCACCGAGGAGTTTCGAGATGTACATTTGAACGTATATGTTCTGCAGATCCTCGTAAATTCACACAACCATTCGATGATATCGATACACAGGCAAAGTATGGTTGAAACCCAGATACTACAGACGATAATTGATAGTATACTTTGACACCGATGCCTGATACTTGATAAGTCAGATCGTTGGTAATATATGTCTACACGCACACATGATTGCGCCATTGATAAGACTGTCAAAGAACTGTTGCAACGATGTAGTTGCAAGCCACGAGTGGATTACCTTCATGAACCCACAATAAGGCAAACTTTGCATTATGACGCTACCAGGTCGGTGCTGATTATATCCAGGAATGGGTATAAACACACAAACTATTGAGCAAAACGTACGCGTACATCGGAGCTCCAAAATAGGTAGATATACCAAAATAGGTACTCGCTTGAAAAAGTGTGTACACTTCAAATCAGAGGGAATTGCAGTACGCGCCTCCTAAAGGGCTTAAAGTAGAAATAAATAGTGTTCTGAGTTTAAGCCAATATACGCCTCTTGTAGGGGTCAAAGTGTAAAATATGGGGTTCAGATATTAACGCCACACAAATCTATTTTAGGGGACAAAATGTAATATAACGGGCTCTGACTCTAAGCTGATACACACCTCATTTATATGTCGTGTTGTTGTGTATATGATTCTCAGTTTAGGGCAATACGCACTACATATAAGGGATAAGATGACGGTATTAAAGTTGTGACTAAGGCATAACACACTTCATAAAAAGGTTAGTTAAAATGTAAAAGGTTCTGACTTAAAGGCCACACGCACACCTCATATGGGGGTCCCGGTTCGGCGCCATCGAATAAGTACGGGTGATTGGAGCACTTGCGCAGCTGCATAAGGATGTTCATGAGGCGCACTTTGTTGCCTGTCTTTGCGCCGTTGGACTGTAGCAAGTCCACGTCTTTCTTAAGAATGTTACGGTACCAGGTTAGCTGCATTTCAGAGAGACCTACGTATACCTGTGATGAGAACGCAAGGAGAACGTGCACAATTGAATAGCCCGCAGTTGAGCATACACGAGTATAAGATATTAAGCGACAGGTGCACTACAACCACTCCTGAAAACTGATGCAACATACTTACATACACAACTAGTGTACTCTGATAGCAGTAATGTGCATGGCCGTATTAGCTTGACGTTAGTAAGCTACGTATCCGAAGTAAAAGCCCAAAATCTGACGGGATGTACACAAGAAGGGCAGTGGGGCGATCTGCAAGCAGCACGCTTGGAAAAGTAACATGTGCAAACACATATAAGTACTTAGACATATAAAATGCACTACTTGACACTCACCTTAGTCTCGATCTTGGGCAACAGACTCTTCTCTACGTCGGCTTTCAGTCGTCTGAGTAAAAATGGCTTGAGTACCTACATGTATCGCAGAAAATTTGAACACATTGTTAGTCATATGAACATCTGTTGGCTATAAGCTATAAAATATCATCATTTGCATAAGCATTACTCCTATATTTTTGAATTGCCTACAACTTCAAGTTGATAATATTCGCATAGTTAATTTGCATTTTGACAAGCTTCTAGACTACGAATGCCACAAGAAAACGGCCATCGAGTGGTGTTTTGACCCTAACGAATCTGATGCGATTAGTAAAAACAGCTATATAGATATACATACATACATACACATATGCATATATATATTTATATATCGATGTCCATGCAAGGGTCGATGATTTCACCATCGAGTTCATACATACGTATACACACACACACACACACACACACACACAACAAATATATATATATATATTATATATATAAA